AGCGGTGGAGCTCAGCGGGACAAAAGTGGGAAAACTCAGGTGCTCACCAGACAGGCGTCCCGCCGCCCCTCCAGATAGCCAGCACACAGCATGTCCTCGGTGATGGCTCCCTGCCCAGCGCCCCGCCAGTAGAGGCGGCTGCAGACTTCCGAGTCTATGATGGGAACCTCCAGTTTCTGCAGGGTCTGGGGGTGGGGCAGGGGCACTGGGGGCAGGGAGGACAGGGTCAGGCTTGGAAAGCCCTCTCTTTGCTGCCCCTCCGTTCTCCCTCAGAGGCAAGTCTCAAAGGTTAATGGATCAACTCCGTCAGACTCCCAAATGCCTGAGGAAAACCCAAATTCCGACACTGCGCACCTCTGGACCTACTGGGTCCGAACGTGAATGAGCCGCGTGAGACTCTGAATCTTTAACGAGTCCCCTGATGCCCACAAAACGGTTAGAACTGCTGGTCCCGGCTTGTCCTGCCCCAAGCACTACTGTCTCCAGCAGAGGAAGTGGACTGCCACAGAGGAAGGGTGCAGTAAACGATCCCCTAATGTTGAACGTTACTGGAACTCGAGGAATCCCCCACACCCTAGGGGGACTGCAGGCCCTAGGGTTGGTCTGTAGGCCCTCCCCAGCTCATAACTCCAGTTCTCAAAAGAGCCCTGCAGGATGACGATGGGGAGGCTGTCTGCAACCTCAGACTCAGTGGGATTGCCAGACACCTGGTGTCATTTCCCTTGATTTCTTTTGGAATCTGGTTAAAATCCCATTTTTCTGACACTTTTTGCTTACTCATTATCTTTCTATTCTATCACCCCCATTATCTATCTACCCACCTACCTTTTTCTGCTTCTCTGCCTCTTACTTTATCTGCCTTGTGTCTCTAGATGATGTTTTCCAGACCTCCAGACTTGGTCTGACAATTATATTGTCCAATTATGGAGCCTACTTCCTTCTGGGAATTTTGCCTGCAATTATGGCATGCTGCCACCAGGGAGTGCCTGTTCCCACTTTGGAATCTCAGGGCTGTTTTACATTCATGTACTCAGCCAGGCCCCATACAGGCCTCCTTCCAGCCTTTCCTAGATCACTTAATAGCCTCGTTGATCTGGCTGTTGTTCCCTCAGAACATAGCCAAGATACTCTTTAACTAGAAAGGACCTAAAATTGTCCACCTAGGTTTCTGGGACTTCACACCTCTGGATCGCGGCTCACTTTTTCTTCCGTCCCTGTCGTCACAAGAAGAGTCTGTCTTTTTCCTTCTGCTATGCCTCTGGCTCCAACCTCTGCTGCCCACTGTATCTGTGTCTCTGAGCGTCTGCCACCCTCTGTCCCCATCCACCCCCTGGCCACGTGGCAGGGGAAAAGCCGCACCTCCATCATGGATACTCCCCCAGCCTGCAATCCAGCAGCGGGTGTTCGGAGGGAGACGGACGGAGGAGTCAGGCAGGCAGATGGGCAGGATTCGCTCAGAGAAGTGGATGGCGTGCTCCAGACGCACCAGGGCGATGTCTGCACGGGAGCCCTCTTTCCAGGAATACACAGGGTGGGACTGCACCCAGGCGATACCCACCTGCTGGGACCTGGGGCCAGGGTTCTCCAGCTGCCAGGCCCCCAGCAGCACAGAGAATTGGGACAGCTTGTTCAGGTTGCTGGGGGAAACAGGAAAGGGGGTGGGGTCAGCCAGGAACCAGGGGTGGTGGGGAAGGATCAGGCAGGGAGTGTCTGGGGGACCACATGCGTTTGAAGGCCCCGAAACAGAAGCAGGCACGCTCTCCTCTATGAGAGGCCCCAAGGCCAGACAAAGACCCGGGGGCTGGTGCCGAGTGGGGAGCCCAGGTCCGGGGCAGGAAACCTGGGGCATCAAGTGGAGGGGACCGGTCGTGCACACCCCTTGAAGCAGTGGGCAGCAGTGACCACCCAGCGGCTGGTGAGCAGGGAGCCTGCACAGTGGTGGGTTCCGTTCTTCTGGATGCTCACGACCCAGGGCCACTCGGCATCAGTGCTGTCCTCGCCGCCCACGATCCGGTTCAGCCGCTGGGGCTTCCCACAAGCTGGGGGTGCTGGCGGACGAGGGTCACATTTTCTGTCATCCAAGTGGCACAACGATCCTACCCTGCCCACGCCCCACACCATTCGTTCCCCGGCCCTTCTCTTCCTCTCCCTCCCCGCGAGCTGGCCACCCGTCTCCCCTCATCTGCTGGTGCTCCCCCCGCTGCCTGGGCCCCTCCCCTCCGAGTCAGAGTCTCTGCTCTGCCTCCTGGGCCTTCTTTGCTGCCTGCCTTCCTCTCCCGCTGGACTCCCCTCTGGCCCCACCGCCCCCTTCTGATCTGCTTACCCCACAGACAGACCCAGATGCAGCCCCTCCCCTCAAGCCCTCCCCCAGGGCCCCCCCAACTCACCAGGTATCCTGGCAGCACGGAGGGAGGCTGAGGGCAAGAGAAAGAAGGGTCAGGCCAGCAGAGAGGAGCCCCGGTGCCCGGGGTGTCTCTCCAGGGCGGGGCATTTCCCGGAGCCTGGGCAGGGCTGACGGAAGCCTCAGGCTCGGCCCTAAGCCGGGGCCCTAACCTCCCACCAGCTTCCTGTCGGGCAACCTGAGCCAGGACTCCATCCCACCTGCCTGACACCTCTCACGGGGTGGGGGTGGGGGTGGGGGTGGGTGAGAGAGGGGGAGCGCACACCTACCCCGGCCCGAGACCCTCTCAACCCCCGAGCCTGAGGCCTGAAACGACACTCATGGTCCCAAGAGCCGGGAGGGAAGAGGAGGCGGTGGACTGCAGCCTCCTTGCAGTCCTCTGCTGGCAGCCACCGGACGGACGTGGCTGAGAGCAGGCGAGCACGAGGGGGAGGGGGAGACTGGGTCCCGGCAGGGCCCAGAGGGCCAGTGCTGAGTAGGGGGAGGGGAGGGGGTGGCCCTGGGGGACAGAGGAGGGAGGCGCAGAGGGGCCTCAGGACTCACCTGCAGAAGCCAGAAGCAGAAGGGGGGTTAGGATCCTGAGACAGCCTCCACCCAGGGCCGGGGGAATTCTGGAAACCACCATGGCCGGTGGGGGCGCGGGCGCGGCTGGGAGAGCTGTGTGCAGAGCTCCCCACAGGTCACCCCAGGTTTTATCCCAGGAGGTGGAATGCCGTTGGACCAGTCCCCCGAGTGAGTGAGTGGCTCGGTCTGGCCACCCCAGGCTGTAGGTCACAGGTGGGGCGGGACTGTGGGGAGGAAATGGGCCGTTAAGGGGGCCCAGGTGGGGGCTCTGGCTGAGATCCCTACCACCCCCCACCAGCAGTGGACTGGTTTGGGGGCCCAGGACCTGGGCTCCAGCTGTGGGCCCAGAATCTGGCCTCTGGAGGAGCAGGACCCAGGCCCGGTGGTGCAGGCCAGTGGCCTTGACACTGACTGGGATGGTCCCCAGTTTGTGTGGGGAAGGGAAGACTTAGGGTGTGGGGTCGTGGGGAGGTCCCGGGGCCTTGGGAACACGGGGCTGCCCAGAGGCTCAGTAACGGCTCCTTCCTCCAGGGGCCACTGTGACTCAGCCAGGAGGCCTGACCAGGCCCTGGGCCCCGGGATTCCGTTAACCCACTTCCCAGAAAGCCATGAATCAGGCCCCCAGTGGCCACCTGTCATGTGGGTCCTGTCACTCGGGTGCCCGGCAACTCACCGCTCACCTGGACTTCGGGGAAACCCAGGCAGGTGCCCAGGTGGCCGACGGACGTGGCTGCCTGGGAAGGGCTGGGGTACCGTCTCCCACAGCCTGGCCCGGCCCCTGCACGCCTAAGGGTCAAAGGGCAGCTGGGCTATGCAGGAGCAGGGAGCCCGGGTGGGTGCTGCCCCGGGGTCCCCCACCCCCAGAAGGAGGGCAGACGGATTCCGGTCCTAGACCCACTGCGTATTCGTCCTCTCATTCACACGGTCAACAAACCTCGCACTGGGAAGGGGTGGGAGACACAGCGGGAGGAGAGTGTACCAGGTGCCCCGCCTCGCCACACCCTCCTCCTCAAATTCCCTCACTGTCCCCGCTCTGAAGCTGAGGAAACTGAGGCTGGGGGCGAGCAGGCTCGTGGTGACACGTAGAGCCGGATTTGAACCCCAATCTGGAGGCGGGAGACTGGACCGGACCCGGTAGATCCCGAGGGATCTTGATCCAGGGGATGGATGGTTTTCACCCAGGGTCCTAGGAGCGGAGGGGTGTGGGCCGGGGCCTCAAGGGCCCGGGGAGGCACCTGACCCTGGCGGGGCTGCAGGTGAAGACCGCCCAGAAAGCTGAGACCCGGAGGGCAAGCGGGAGCAGTGGGGAGGCGTGCAGGGGCGGGCAGGGGGGCTCAGAGAAGAGAGGAAGCCGGGCTGGGGCGCAGGACAGGGTGCTGGCAGGAGCTGGGGGCCCTCCAGGCAGACGCTCGGCGCACCCCGCTGGGCAGACCGCCTCAGCCTTTCTGGAGTGCCCCGGCTTGGCCAACATGCTCCTCCCCCACAGCCTGGGGGTAGGGGTGACCCCTGTGCTGTCCCCGCTCAGACCCTGGGGCTTTGAGAGGTGGCAGGAGCCTGCAGCCGACCACCTCCCCGGAGCCACAAGGGATCGCTGGTGTGTTTTACTGCCCCCTTCCGGCTTCGGCTAGAAGGGCAGGAGGCAACTCGGGGCTAAACTACAGCCAGACGCCCCCTCTCATCAGGGCGAGCCCCCTGTCCCATCCCGCCCCAATACAAGCCAAGGATGGGGGTGCAGGAGCCCCGAACAGCCCCCAGCTGATGCATTATTCTGTCCCAGGACCGGGGGCAGGGAGCTGCCAGAGAACACCCATGCCAAGCAGCAAAGGTGAAGGGCAGGCTCTGTGGGTGCCCCCCCACCCCGCCGCCTGCTCACCACCCTGGGCTGTCTCTACTCCACGGCTAGCCCCAGGCTCCCCCAAACCGCTGCCTTCCCGAAACTAAGGTGGTTGGCCTCCCCGGCTCACTCGACAAGCATTTATTGGGCCACGGCTGTATGTCAGATCCCATGCTGGGCACTGGGGCACCACGGATAAGACACAGGTCCTACCCTTGGGCAGCAGGCATCTCCTCGGGGGTGGGAGGCAGGTGAGCAAGTGATGATGGTGAAGGAGTCTCAGCACGGGGGAGGGGGTGTGGGGAAGCACGGAGGCGGGCAGGGCCCCTGGAGGGCCACGAGAGGCTGGGTGCTGGGAGCTGTGACCCCCCGCCCCGAGGGGAGGGGCAGTGTCAGGTGGCCCAGCACACCCTGGGGATCTAGGATGGCCCTGGTGCACTCCGGGTCTCAGTGGGTGTTTGCTGAATGAATAAACAAGCGTGGCAAGGTGTCGGGAGGATTGTGCCAGGGACCAGCTGTCCCAGAATGCAGCCTCCCCAGTGTCCTATTACGTTTCCTGAGAACTGGGCCACTGCCGAGGTCACCCGAGGGACAGACACGTGTCCTGAGATGTCACTGATCCCCAAAAAGGGTGGCCAGGTAGAGGGCCTCCAGGAGAAGGAGCCGGTAGGAGCCACAGGAAGACCTGAGAAGGCAGTGAAGGCTGTCGGGCACCAGGGCTCAGCAAGGGCCCCAGAGACCGGATCCCCAGTTCCCAGAGAGTGGGGGCCCCGGCGTGACTTGACATCCATTGGAGACATTTACGGAGCACCTACTGGATGCTGCAGCCATACCAGCAGTGCCGGCGGGGCATGTCCTCGCCTGGGCACCAGGTGCCCACCCTGCCACCCACCCTGCCACCTGGTGCCTGTCACACCATCGCAGGGCCACCGATGATTTGCAGCGAGCTGTGCAGGACGGAGAGGGCTGCGGACGCATCGCACGAGTGGCAGCTGGGGCTGGCGGGGCTCAGCCCGAAGAAGTGGCACACCAACGCCATTTCACACCCGGGCGTGCTGGAGACACAGCGGCAAGCAGACCGGAGACCGCCCCTGCCCGCACGCTGGGGACGCTGGAGGAGAGAGAAACACCATCCATCAGTCGTTTAGTCTGACGGATGATAGAGTCACAGGGAAACCAAACCAGGAGGGGGACGGGGGCAGGGAGGATGGCGGTCTCTCCAGCTGAGTCTTCCAGGTGTAGTCAGAGGTCATTCCGGCCCCGGGGAAGGTGCGAGCAAAGGGTCTGCCGGGTGGGACAGCAGATCCGAGCTGGGGCAGAGGACAGGCACGGGGACCGAGGGGGCCCAACCCCACCCAGTGGGCCTCCCTGTGCAGGGGACGAAACAGGGACAGGAGAAGTGGGGAGGCCGTTCCAGGGCCAGGGATCAACCAGCTCATGGGCACAGGGGCAGAGGCCGCCGGACCACCAGGGGTCCCGGGGGGTGTGGGGAGGGGGCTGACAGCTCTCACGGCGGGTGCTGGGTGGCACCTGGCCTGCCCCCGGGTGCCCGCCCAAGCAGGACCGGCACGCACGTTCACGGCAGCACTAGGCACGGGAGCCCCAGAGAGGAAACAGCCAAATGTCCATCAGTGGGCGAAGGGATAAGCAAGCCGTGGTCCCTCCACCCAGTGAGACACGTCATTCAGCCACAGAAAGGACGGACTGCTGCACACCTGCTACCACACCGGCTACAGCGCGGCTGAGCTGGCGGACGTCACGCTCGGTGAAGGGCCAGGCGCAAAGGGATAAATACTGCAGGGTTCCACTTCCACGAGGTCCCTCAAGTGCAAGCCCAGAGACGGGAAGTGGGGATGAGGGCGGGGGCAGAGTCCTCGGGGAAGATGGAAAGTTGTGCAGCTGAAGCAGGTAGTCAACGCCTCGGACCCACGCGGGCGCTTCGGGATGGTCACCACGGCAAATCGGGCATATTCTCCACATGAAAGAACGGGGGAGAAAATCTGAATGTCCTCTTTCGTGAACGCTGGAAGTGGCGGCACCTGTGGGCCCCCCGGGTCAGAGTGGCCCCCCAGCTGCATGTGGCTCCGCCCACCCGAGCCCATCCTGCGACACCGCCCGTGCCCCGGTCTCCCCGGCCGTGGGCCGGCTGTGCCAGCCGCCCTCACGCGAGCCAGCGGAGCGCCCCAAGGGGCCAGCCGAACACGGGCTCCTTCCTCCAAGCCCGGCCTCAGTTTATCCATCTGTGAGGAGCACTGGTCGGCCCCGCCCTGCCTGCCACCACCGACCGAGGGAGCAAGGGCTGCTCGGGTTGAAGGGCTGGTGGTCGCGAGGCGCCCAGGGCCCCGTGAGCAGCATCGGGCTGTGCTGGTCTGCGGGCGAGGTCTTCTGGGCACTAATGAGGCCCTGGGGACACTCGAGGACACTGCTCACTGACCGCGGCTTCATCACTGGGGATGCCCTTCCCCTGGTCTAATCACACTCCCGAACTCTCCTAGCTCTCACACAGTGCTCCCTGCCTCTTGGTGACTTAGGTCCAAAGTGGCTCCAACCCCGTCTCAGGTCCCAGGTCCCAGGTCCCACTCGGAGCCCCACCTCACCCGAGCCCAGCTCCCACACCCCGGGCCCCACATTTTCCTCACAGCCTCCTCAGTCCGGATTTATCCACAACCTACCCCTCCTTCAGAAAAGCTGGCCGTACGCTGGATTTCTTAGAGCTGACCCCGTTTTCCCCTATTGACTCCTATGGTTCTCATGGAAAAATAACCCATCGGCCTGGGCTGGGACTCTCCGGGGAGGAAGGTTGTCAGTCCTCCTGCAGAAACGACACTGGACGGCCCACCCTAGGGGCCAGAACCCCTCACCTCCACTCCCAACTTCCCAGGCTACACACGGCTTCTCTGGTTGGTGGAAAACCCCTCTACTGCCCCCCTTCTCCATGCACAAGAACTTGGCCTAGTGGGTAAGAGTTGGTCACAGGTAAACTTGGAACCCCCTCTTGCTTTGCCTGCTTACCTTTAAAATAGCATGTTTGGGGCGCCTGGCTGGCTCAGTCTGTAGAGCGTGCGACTCTTGATCTCAGGGTCCCGAGTTCAAGTCTCACGTTGAACACGGAGCCTATTTAAAAAAAACAATTGCACGTTTACCACGGGGATGTGTTAACAAGGGCTCCGACTGGCTAGCAGGAGCTGATGGTGAAGCTGGTGGGAAGTTTGCAAGAGCTCACATCA